ATATAAGTATATATATATATATATATATATATATATATATATATATATATATATATATATATATATATATATATATATATATATATATATATATATATATATATATATATATATATATACATATATTATATATATAATTTGTTTTGTTGTAGTAGATAATAAAGTGCTCAGCAGAGCAAGATATATTTATATCTTAAAATTAATTATTGCTACTCAAACTTCACGCCTTATCCAAGACGATCTTCAGGCAATATATACCTGAGTACAAATCCCACCATCAATCAAGTAGTTTTCTATTCTGGTGTGGACATTACTTGGAGAAGATCACCCAATATATATAATCTTCTTGAGTACAAATCCCACAATGAACAAGTGATTAAATCCTGATTTACACCGTCAAAGTTTGTGTGATCAAAATAGGAATTTTGCATAGGTAAATTCTAAGTTTTGAAGGATTTGTAAAAAATGTTTGAGAGAACTGATTCAGTGTTTAACACTAATTAGTCAGTTCCCTCAAACAAATCCTTCAAAACTTAGAATTTACCTATGCAAAATTCCCACTGTGATCACAGAAAACTAGCCTTAACCATGGTTGTTATAAGACCTGTATGGTTAGGAAGCCCGGCAAACTTCAAAGAAATTACGCTATAAACAAACATGGAGGTTGAACAGTTAGTTTGACCCTGCACATATTGGTTTTAATCAATGAGAATTGACCAAACGATGTAACCCAAACATTCTCCATCGAAAAATGGTGGTAATACTTCGTTGTTTGCAACATATGCCATAAGATATAGCCCTGGTGGGCAAAACACATATTTGGTCCCATTCCCTTCGCCAAGCTTTCTGAACTGACTATTGTCAAACAATAGAAAGACAAAGGATTTTTCAACCGTGACCCTGCACAAGGTACACAATCACCTAAAACAAAGGGTTTCCAAACCATGTCATATATATTAACTATGCCTTAACCTCTCTATTCTTCAATGCCTACAGCAATGTTCAAACAACAAAAAATGCAAGAAACCAGGGATGTACTGTGACAAGATGGACAATCAATGTCGAAAGAAAGTGAAGGTGGACGGACGATGCGACCAGGCGGGACAATGCGAGAGTACTGGGAAACATGTTGCCTGCCTTTGGGGACGATGCTCTGTGGTCACAAAAACTGCAGGTTATGCAGGTTGGTAGCTGTGATCTTAATATACTAATGGAGTGATATCTGCACGTGAAGGCAAAAGATCTTCATATTGGACAGTTCTAAACTGTTCTCCCTATAGAAGACCAGTGAATTATTATAGTTGGAGACCACTATAGCAGGAACTAATGGTAGATCCTGGCATCAAGGATCCCAGAAAATTTTCAGACCTGGTTTGACTGGTAGAAAATTTTAGGACATTGCATAATGCTGACAGACACAGGAAATAATTTATCATGAAGAATAAAAGAATATTTAAAAATATAGCAGAAACCATTGACCCCGAAACTTCGGATCCCAGAAACAAACCAGAGATCCCAGAGACTATACCTTGCCACGATGTGCACATTCAATTCCCGTAATTTTCAAAATGTTTAACTTCCCAGGTCTGTTCTGCAAGGACGACAAAGACTGTGATTCAGAAGATCTCCACTGTTCCTTGCAACAAGATATAAGTGAAGTGTCTAAAGTGTGTATATTCAAACTATCTGAGGGTCAGACATGCGGGCGAACCAATATATTTTCTTTCTTTCCACTTGGCGGCCTGGCTCGTGATCTGCCGTGCAAGAAAGGGTACACTTGTCAGGAATTAAGGTGAGTTTTGATGTTTTATAAATCTAGAAGATTTTCTGAATGATATCGGCTGCACTAACGCCCGTATTCTAAAAGCTCACTCACACTCACACTCAATGAGTGGAGGTTCAATCTGAGCTTCTCTCGAGTGTCATTGCTGTTTTTGAATAGCTGGAGGGTTAGTGTCGTACCTTACTATGTGACTACTCGCCCTCCAGCTGTTCAAAAACAGCATTGACACTCAAGAAAAGCTCAGATTGAACCTCCACTCATTGAGTGTGAGTGAACTTTCAGAATACGGGCGTAAGTCTTTGCCAAACTAAACAAACTTTATTGATATAGGACTGTATTTCTATTATAAGTTCCTAAAGTGTCCTCCTACTAAAGCCCATTTCCACTCAGGAAAATTTTCCGCAGAAAGAAAATTTTGTAAAATGTGATTGGCCGACACAAATTTTCCGTCGGAAAAAATGTTGAAGTTGAAAATTTTCAACTTTTAACAATGATATTTTCGGAAAATTTGCTGCCCGTGGAAAATGTTTCTTGAGTGGAAACGGATCTTTAGGGGTCCATGCCAGTAAGTGCAATTCCTTGTTATTTTGCCCGCTTATATTTGACCTCCAGAACTTCAAGAGTAATGTAAGGTTAGTTTGAATTGACATCACCTTATATACTTTATGCAATTCTTCAATTTAGATTCACAGGAAGAAAGATTTGTCGTCGTTCCAATGATGACGACGACGTGAAGGAAGACTAAAGAGATGAACTTCTTTCGATCGAGTTGAGACAATAAAACGATCATTATATACGCTTCATTATAGCTTAGATACCTTCGATATATTGTTAAGCTTTAGAATGTAATCAATACTTGCTGCAAATGAAATATAGCTGGGGGGATTTATAATGTATTTTTTGTATGTATTGTAAGTAGTATATTTATTAAAATATAAAATCGAAACAAGTCATGCTGGTATAGTTTATCACTAGAATGTTATCCGCAAAACTTAAACATTGCTATTGCAGCGCGCCGAGGAGTCATACAACATATACCCAAATTTTGTATAATCGAACTGCAGGCTGTAAAAGTCTGATGAGGATATGAAAGCTATAATCCGACATCATTTGAAAAATAGTTAAGACGTATCAAGCACACGGAGCTTATCAGCATTTACATTGCGCGAAAATACGAATCTGTATGCAATCATTTTATATACGATATTTCGTTTTCTCGGATGTCTCTTGGCGCAACAATGACAATTAGACAGATTTAGATCGAGGACGCGGACGTCAAAGACCACGTGAAAATGGCGTCAAAATGGCGTGGCAAATCAATACATGGACACAACACGCCATTTTCACGTCGTCTTTGACGTCCGCGTCCTCGATCTAAATCCGTCTACTATACTCCCAATGACATGCGTACTACCTCTTTATAACCTGGCGAAAAATATACACCGCCATATTTGGTCCGCAATTCAAAAAAAAAAATTCTGCCGCACTAACTATGAAACTGTCCACGATAGCTAGTAGTCTATAAAAGAAGTCTGATGGTTTCACGAAGTTCCCCCTCTCCCCACCTCCTCGCCCCCTCCCTCCGCCCTTTCCCCTCTCCCCCATCTCTGTCTCCTCAATAGAGTCGCATACTTCATTTAAGACAAATATTACTATATCACTCACCCAAAGTCTGCCCAAGTCTCCACACGGTCGAACAGCTCATGAATAATTAACGACTAAAGGTGGCGTATTCTTCAATGTCAGCGAAGCGGAAAAAAGCCAAAAGATCGGAACGGATTCAAAACAAAAAGTGTGAACAATTTATCCTTTTTTGAAGGGAAATGGGGCCTCCAAGGCCATATGTCGTGTTGTTTGCCCTAGCGTTTCTTCTTGTTCAAACGTCAAACGGTGTAACTGCAAAAAGAGGACAAAAAATAAAACTTAAACATGGCGGAAACGATATAGCGAAGAAGGTTAGTGTAACGGACTGATAATTATATATTTCAAACGTGCAGGTCCAGTGTAGGTAGTATTCTACAATACGTTAGCGCCGTTTGAGTCATGAATTGACTGAAAAAGATTTAAAATACTTCAAAGGTTCTTCACTCCCGACGATAAAAGGCCGGCGCTTGAAACCTTAGCGAGTACTTGATCTTTTTCAGATAGTTTAGACCAAAACTGCGCAAGTTTAATAATGATGAATTTATTGCGTGAAACACTTTATTGCAAGATGTTCTCATTATTTTTGTCTTCATGACGACAAAAAGCTTGAACTACTTAAGACAATATTGAAGATATATCAAAGGGAAAAATAAATGTTTAAATCTTGATTGATGTAAGCAGGTTGTTATCTTTAAAGCAAAAAACAGCTCATAAATCTGCCATACAATAAAGTGTTAAGCTTGTTAGCCTCTCAATCTTTTAGCAATAACCCTGAGGATGACAAATTCAATGACAAATGAAATCGTTCGACGATAGACAGAGTAAAATACTAAAGTCAGCATCGATCATCGTTCATGATTGATACGCTGGACTTTTAATTAATGAACAGTTAAACATTGTCCCCTTGTCAGCCTACTCACGCATGGTGTATTATGGTTTAACATTTAAGTTTTATTTCTTTAGTTCAGTATAGCCACTCCACAAGTTGACGGAGGTGCGGTTGAACAGACGGGGAAGACGCGGATGTTGGCGCCAGGATTTTACTCACAGGAATGTAATGCTCATAAGAAATGTGAAACAGGTCAGGAACTGTTTGTAGTTTATATAAATAGTTATAATTTAACTAATTAATATTTGTCCTCCATAGAGGTCCAGTAAGGATCATCTCTTATTGATCCAGTGTTATGGACCTCTATGGAGAACAGTTTAGAACTAATAGAGTTATCCAGTATAAATAAAGTTAGTTTAGTTTATGTTTCCTCGTGTAGGTAAGGATCATCTCTTATTGATCCAGTGTTACATACTACAAGAGGAAACCTAAACTAAACTAACTTTAGTTATACTGGATAGCTCTATCAGTTCTAAACTGTCCTCCCTAGAGGTCCAGTAAGGATCATCTCTTATTGATCCAGTGTTATGGACCTCTAGGGAGAACAGTTTAGAGCTATCCAGTATAAATAAAGTTAGTTTAGTTTAGGTTTCCTTCTGTAGGTAAGGATCATCTCTTATTGGTCCAGTGTTACTACAAGAGGAAACCTAAACTAAATTAACTTTATTTACACTTGATAGCTCTATCAGTTCTAAACTGTTCTTCCTAGAGTTCCAGTAAGGGATACAACTATATTATGGCACTTATTCTTCATTTAGGTAAATATTGTCATATGTTCCTATGCGTGCATTGTTTGAAGGAGAACGTGGCTTGCACTCAGAATGGCCAGTGTTGTAAGGGACAATGTGTGTATGGACGATGTAAGAAAGAAGGAGCCAATGGAAAACCAGGGACATTCTGTGATCGACATGAGGATTGCACGGATCCTGCAGGGACATGTTGTGTAAGGTAGGGACAAGTTGTGTTAGATAGGGACATGCTACATGTGTAAGGTAGAGATATATCGGAAAAGAATGAACCAATGGAAAACCAGGTGTACAACGACCCTAGAACCATTGCCGGTATAGATGGTGAGCTCATAGATTGTCTGGATAGTTCGTCTTGTATTTGCATGCGCGAAGACGGATGGTCCTCAGATCATGATAATAAAATAAATGGATAGGACTCTAGCTGACGTAAGCAAAAACAACCTAGTTGCAATCTGTGACGTCACGCGTATTGCAAAGTTCTCGGCATTTTTGTTGTTTCGCTATACTTTCCGCTTTAAAAGAGTAATAGTGAAGCATATACTGGTCTAATTATTTTAAAAACATGCCTAAGCCACGACAAAGTATTCAAGGTAAATGTTTTTCGTCTTTGTTTTGTATTTTTTACATTTGTAGCTATGAAATTGGCGTCCCCAATTTTAACAAAATTTGGGATGCCTTTTTCACTGTTTGGTGCTTGAAATATTTGCTAAAATTGACTGGGAATACTTAGAGATTTCATCGTAGAATGGCGTGGTTATATTCATTTGCTCTTTGACTAAAATGTTGTATTATTGCTAAACATGCCGTTTTTGAGAATTTGGTTTGCAACTAGGTTTCAACATCCAATCACGCCATCAGCCCATTGAAAACATTAGGTCACGTCAGCTAGTTTCCTATCCATTTATTTTATTATCCATGATTAGACAGAGGATGAGTCTTGTCAGATGATTCACCAACAATGTATGTAATGCATCTCTGGGCCGATGATAGGTTAGAAAATTCAGTTAAAATCTTTTCTACAAATTTTCTATTTCTCTCTCTAGAGAACCAGCCATAAACCCGCACATTTCAATATGTAAACCTCCACTAAAGAAGAACATGGTATGTGGGCCCATCAATTTCTTCAGAACAGTGTATGTCGGAGCTGAGGTGCAGACGGCGTGTGGACCTTGCGAGAAGAATCTCATTTGCAAGCAAGTGGGGTAAGTGTTATAACAACAGTGCTTGTTGATGTGATTTATGGTGACACAGGGCAGGTTAAGGGGTGGGGAAAGGCCTGATGGGGACGGGGGGGGGACAAGAAAAAATCGCGCAAAGGAAAAAAACCCAAAACATTCATGCAAAGAGGAAAGCAAAGAAATTCCAGCACAAACAAACGGCCGAAAACAAAATTCCCCTCCCCTTTCCACAACACGTTTCGCGTGGTTCCCTCCAATAAGTGTACCTTTCCCCTCCGTGATCAGAACTGACTTCCGGAGTAATTGATGCAAGCGTAAACAAAACAGCGCGCAAATGTTCCGAAATTCTAAACTTTTCCCTTTTTCTTTTTGTAGAATTTTCGGTGTTCACGAAATATGCGTCGATCCCAAGACAGATTAATGAAGATAAATATATCGCTTAAGGAAGATTAACAAACGCATATGGCACAGGACCAAATATAATAGCAGTCTATGTATGATAGATACATAGTGATACACTGATCTCCATATTGGTGTATTCGTATATCGGTATATGGACCCTGAATATCGCTATAGGTATTTTTGGTGCTGATATTACCGATGTTGTATTATAATACAATAAGTTTATAAAATATATTTAAAATTTACTTTTTAGATGTAAATATAAAACACTCGCACATACGGACGAAAAGCATGGATACAACAACGGGGGTAGGGCTTATGTTAAAATAAAGAATTGCATTGTCAGATATTTTTGCCCACTGAATGGCTGATTATTCCATGAATATACAGCTAATTCAGAAAAGGTTGTCCTTTGCAAACCTGAAACTCTATGTCTTCAACTCTAAGCGCACAAAGCTTAATGGAAGCACCAGTTTCAAGCTTAGTAGTTGAATATTGCAGCTATTTGTGAATGAATTGTTCTCGTAAGGTGATATTTACTATGTCTCTAAGAAATGGGTCACACATATGATTTCTGAACTGATTAAATGATGCTCCCATCATGCTTTGCACGCTTAGAGTTTAAGGTTTAAGGTTTAGATTTTAGGGTTTGCAAAGGACGACCTTTTTTGAATTAGCTGTATATGTATAAGGTATCTGTTGCCTTGTGACCATAGTATATCTTTTGTGAGACGATGAGGCTGACCCAGAGATCCCAAGGATATCGTGCAAAATTTCAATTCTCAGCAGTGAGTACAATAGTACATAGACTACATTTTCTGAGCATTCTAGAATAATATTTGAATAATATGCGCGAATTCTATGCGAATAATATGCGCATAATATGTTAACATTATATTCGACTCGAATATTTTTGCAATTTTGCCACCTATAACATAAACAACTAAAAAATTTACTTTAGCCAACATAGCAGATGGTCTACACATGGCATCATCAACATTTTTTTAAAAAACAAACATATTGTACAGATGAGCAAGCATATACTACTACCGTAATATTCAATTGCTAAAACAAAATAATATATTCGTCTTCATCTATTACTTCCATTGGCAGTGAAACCGATCAGTTATAAACATGTCTTTATGATTATACATACAGATTCACATAGTGACTACATAAAAGTGTTTCCTAAAATTCCATCTTTTAAAATGGTTAGAGATGCGCAAAAGTTTACTTGTAAACTTTCATCAGATGTTCAACATTCTGGAATTTGTACCAGAGTAAGAAATGGCCCCATCAAAGAAAGACATCGATTTTGAATGGCACTATTCCTTTTTGCCAAACATTGTTCTTTTCTTTATACTTTTGTTCATTCCCAGTTATCTTTTCATTTCTCTTTTCTCGGCTCTTATTTTCCTGCTGGCTTGGCAGGAAGACATATCTGGTGCACACCAAAGATTCTAAAACAACAAAGACACGGGTTTCAATTTCAGTGTATAATATCATATTGCGCATCTACAAGGACTCGATAGATGGAAATTTATACATTTTTTACATCTAACCAGGAACAGTTGCGAAAAATGCAACCATAGGCCCTCTGGTACGAATCGAACCTGTGCCCCATCGATTCCGGTGGAGCGCTCTACCCAACTGAGCTACAGAGTCAAGTTGTCGAGCTATGGTTTCGAGTGCGATTTGGGGAAAAACATGTACAAGTGAGTTTTTCAAAGGTCGTCAAAATTGAGTTCGAAGGACGATTATCCATTATTCAAATGTAAAGATATAATAAATCGCTCACCCAACTTGTTTGCAGGTCAGATCAGATTTACATGGCCCGCACGCCGCCTGCACAGTTCCTCCAATATATACCGCCCTGTATTGATTGTAGGGCCCGCATGTTTGATGTTCATCCAGTCCAGGTTTACATACAGAGATCGCAGGATTAATGGCTGGCTCACGAACACAGCACGTTTCTGGTTCCTTGCAGTCACTCTGTCGGTCGCAGAATGTTCCTAGAAAATATTCGGGAATTTTGATGAAAATGAGCAAAGTTTCTGTGATCACAGTAGGAATTTTGCATAGGTAAATTTAACTCAGTGTTAAATGCTGAGTCAGTTCCCTCAAATATTTCTTACAAATCCTTCAAAACTTAGAATTTTTCTACTATGCTCACAGAAACTTTGATAGTCTAAACCAGGCTTTAGTATTAGTATAAAACACAACGACCAATATTCCAGCTTTTAATTTATGCGCGCAGGAGGTGACGAGAAGTAAAGTATCATATTGCTGATTATGCTGAACAATTTCAATAAAAACTGCCGAAACATTTCAATATTTCAAGTATAAGCTACCATGTTTACATGACCACAGCTTCCGTGTTTACATGGCCACCATTTTTATTTTTCCAGCATAAATAGCAATATGATACCTTACTTCCCATCGTCCCCTGCACGCATAAACTAAAAGCTGGAATAGACCTTATGCATAATGACGTCACAAGGCTTGATGCCCACGAGGAATGCTGGTCTTAGTAGTCATCGCCCGAGAAAATTAAACAATTCAACTGGCCACTATAGAAATTTTCCCGGGCGATGACTACTAATACCAGCATTCTTCGCGGGCATGAAGCCTTGTGACGTCATGATGGATAAGGTCTATTGCCTATTCTATGTTAAATTTTTAGCCTGCACTTACCAGCGGCACCCTTGGAGGCTCCAGCCTTACACCGCCCGTAGACACAGAATAATCCTTGGTCGACACAACACTGACCATTCTGAGTGCACGCGACATTTTCTTTAAGACAATCCACGCATAAAAACATGTGGCAATATTTTCCTTTCTCACATTTCTTCTGTGAATTACATTCCTGGGTATAGTAACCTGGTGCTATCATCTGCGAAAACATGAAAGATGTCAGTAAAGTAAGAACCATCATTGATGGTTTCTACAGCAGGCTGTTCCATTTACTGTTCAGATTTTCGGAACAGTAACAGAATCAACCGTTCATGTGACTTTCCCGGCTGTCCCTACTCAAAAAGTAGGGTCAGCCAGATTAATTTAATTAAATAGGTGTAATTAACCCTATATGTGACATTTGATACAAGGACACCAAATAACGATTAAAATTTACTGGAGTTAGACAGAGTAAGAACAAATAGACAGATTAAGATCGAGGACGCGGACGTCAAAGACGACGTGAAAATGGCGTGTTGTGCCCATGTATGGATATGCAACGCCATTTTCACGTCGTCTTTGACGTTCGCGTCCTCGATCTAAATCTGTCTAATAAGATACAGATGGGAACGAGGTCACATTCAGTCGTACTGTAAAAAAAGATTGGTTGAAATAACCAATTCAAATTGGTTGTCTCAGATGCATCTCTTCACGGCAAAATATTGGTTGTTTTAACCATTTTTTTGAGTTGTATTAACCAATTTGTTGGTTGTTTTAACCAATAAAAATTGATTAAATTAATACGTCTGAGACAACCAGTTTAAATTGGTCAGTTCAACCAGTGTCTCCCAATGACGAGTAATTTTACATTAAAAAGTGTATTATAAATGAGTATCAAATTTGTTACATGGCAACTATTTGAATGGCTATATAATGCAGATATTTCAGTGACTTTTGGTGTGCCCTATAATGTTAGAAATTTATAACAGTATATAAACTTACAATAAATTTATTGCAAGTTTATTGACCCCTAGCTGGCTATAGTTTAAAGAATCAATAAATTCCCTAGCTCTATCTAACCGTTTTAATGTCGCCATGTAAACAATCTAGTGCTACCCATATAAAACAAGTACAAATATATAAATTCAACAAATAACGAATAAAAAGAATATAAATTACCTTTTTAACTCTTGTCGTATCATCATTTGTGGGCAAGTCATCTTCATTTATCATTCGTTTACTTAATTTTTCACAATTTCCCGCCACAAAAAACACCACAAGGGCAAAACGAAAAGCCCGAAGCATCTTTGCTACCATTTATACAGCCTTTCTACGTAAACATAATACAAAAAATGCGAAAAAGAAGGTAAAATTTTGAAGGAAGGATCAAAATTTCAATTCGTCAGTCACAGGTGTGGATTGCTTATAAAAACAAACTGAATTATTAATGAGGTCCTTAGATCACTACGTTTCATTACATGCAAGTGAATGTAATCGTTTATAACTCAAACCTTAAAAAGCGACTCCTACTGTTAAAATGTAAAATAAAGTATTTCTAAGATATCCTAGATAACAGAAATTAAGTAAAATGAGATATTTTTTATCATGGCAAGTGTATTGATAAGTAAATGGACACACTAAACGGTTGTTTAGCTCGGCTTAGCAGGTTTGAACGGGTAGTTTACCCTCAATTCATTGAATCTGTCTTACGGATCACTGTAGCGCAAAAATGCGGCATTTCAATGACACTAATCTCAAAGATTAACTGAATGTATAGGATAGATAATGATCACGTGTGTTTGAATTAGGTTTAGTTTTGGTTACCCCCTGTAGCAAAATTCTAAAATAGACTAACTATATTGATATTGAAAAGCTCTATCATTTCTAAACTGTTCTTGGTAAAGGTCCAGTTAGAGCTAGTAATCTCTTGGCAGTCTAGTGTAAATATAGGAGAACACTTAATATAAACTAACTTTATTTATAATGGATAGCTCTATTATTTATAAACAAACTGTTCTTCCAAGAGATTCAGTAAAATGGCTCCTTTATAGTTTATACTTGTCCAATGTTACTATAGAGGAGGAAATCTAAATTCGAGGGGAAATTACTCTAATTCTTTGTCCACTTTCACCTCGTTCCCAGATTTCCGTAGCCTAATCCTCAGCCTAGTCCCAGCCCTCTTAGTACGCCTGCATGCGCGTTCTCACGCTCTTGCTACAAACTTGTTGACCTTTCCCGCTTTCCGTGGGGCCGAGGGAAGAGGCAATCACTCCCCAACAAGCATTTTCACAAAGCTGTGTTTTCGCACGCAGATTGAAACCAAACACCAATACTCTCTTTTTGAACCCGTACATTAACTGCTAATGGAATTTCAAACACAACAGTCCATTTCCCATGCTGTTATTCAACAAATTGTCGGTTTTGATCAAATTGACTAAATACCGAGCGCAAAAAAAACATGCACTTTGACATCAAAGTTGTCAAACACGGTAACAAGACACCAAGTTTGACGCTTTGCACTTAAAATAGCCACTTGAGGAAATGTCTAGCTCACGTTTCATAATTCCGCGTTTGGACAAAACATATCCAATACAGCTGTGGTCGAATGCACGTACTAAGTTTTTTTTTAAATGTGTTAGTTTCTTCAATACATAACGGCTACACTTTTAATCATGGCAGGAGAAAACGAGCTTAAGCAAGAGAATAGTGAACTACGGAGAACGCAAGTGCAATTAGCAAGCGATTTACAAGAAGAAAAGCTCTTAGTTCACAACTTAATGGGGACAATAAAGAACTACGAGAAGCTACTTCGTTTAGAAGGACAATCTTGTAGACAGGAAGACGCTGTTTTGATGAATGAGCACACGAAACGCCACGACTCCTGGGGGGTATTGTGTAGTTCAATAGTTCTCCTTGATGAAGAGTATTTGGAGTTAACAACGGCTGTAGCGTGTCTCTTAGAACAGTGTACAAAGTTTGAGAAACTTCACGAGAACAGAACGAAGAAGATTTGTAATTTGAACATGAGGATTGAAAGGCTGGACGCCATTGCGTTCGGACAGAAAGTTGAATGTTGAGTTGCTGACAATGAATGGAATATACAGTAGAGCCAGGGAATGAATGGTACATTTACCAAACCCTTCTTTTACAATTATATTAGTTCTATCGAGTGAGCTACCCATTCATGTACAAAACCTACCCCTTCTGTCATTATTTCTATCAAGGGAATGCCCAAAGCCCAGATATTAAAGCGTTCTATTGAAGCAGATGGTTGTCGACATCAGACATACTAACACGTAACTGACAGAAAGTTGTCTTCATCAAAGCTTAAAGTCAACAAGAATTATTATTGAATCTTTGGGAACATCACGTACGTGTTGCGTCTTGTCTCAAGCCTAGTTCAAACGTCGCGCTTATCATGTGATGAATGTAAATTATCTCAACTCATTGAACTCGTTATCTTGAACTCATTTGATCTGGCACAGAAAAATTGACCTGATAGCTTACGGCAGACCGCTAGCCGCAAACGCCAAACTTCATAATCGTATTTGATAATTTGAAGGTCAGTTCTACAACGAGTACAAGTTTTCGATAGTTTAATAAGTTGACCAGTTGACCTCAAAATACGATTTGGAGTTTGTCGTTCTACCGTAAACATCAATTAAGACAAGCTGAAGGTCTCTGTTGAGGCGTGGGATTTATTGAAGAAAATATTCAAAAGTATATATGGACATTGAATATGTATTTATTGAACACTCGAAGCTTTGTTAAAGAATAAAAATCGGTAAACATTAAAACTATTCAGCTCTCGACTTTATTGGTTTAAACAATAACACAAGTTAATGGTGTGTTTGCGTGACATGTTGGTGTTATTAAAAACAATGTTTACATATCTTCTCAAATTACATTTGTACAATATAATTGAGATATTATTGAGACTTTCGTTGGTGGGGATGAACTACCCGAAACATATAAGGAGAACTTCGATGTTTCGAGCGAAGGGCCCGTGGCATATTATCAGCGCGGGACCTTATTTTACGACATTTTAAACACTGAATTCGGAAAGATTCAAAAATCCTTTTGTATTTCGTGAATAAAAAGTTGCCCAAGTATACTTAGAATATCATCAGCATAACCATTCAACTTGGATGGTTAATATGGCGTTGAATATCATCGGCATAACCATTCAACTTGGATGGTCACTGGATTGGGTTTACACTTCACGTCATAGCGGCCATGTTGGAGGAACGCTAACAAAAGAATATGATTAGCAGCTATTGTATCAGTTTATCAGTTGGAGCGTGTTCTCCTCCAAAATGGCCGCCGTGTAATTGTCTTATAAATCTCAATGCATTGATTGCAAACCAACGATATGTCAATTACCAAGTGTGCAGTGCATTCAGTATAAGCTTAATTTTGTTCATATTCTTGAGTGATTGTTTATAAAGTTAGACTGCTGGTACCAGTGAAAAATTAAATAAAGCTTTTCTGATCTTTCTCTTAAACCACGTGTATACAACGATTTGAATTTAACATAATATCTCTTACAACGAAAAGATTGCTCAACAAATTATCTAGAAATACTGCAAGTAGCAAACTTATAAAAAAGATAGATTCGTTTCTAGTTTATAAAACTGAATTGTTCATTGTCCTTATCGAGCAATTCAATTGAAATTGCTCACATGGAACAGTTTTAACCAACGAAGCGTCACAACTAAGACCGTTACCAACCAAAAAATCTCAATATGCAGTCCTAATCTGACCCAAACGCAAAACCGAACTTGATAAGACACAGATAATATAAAATTTCACTCAATAAGTTAGAAAATAACAACTCGCGACGATTATCGGAGCGATTTAAACGCGTTTAGTGAACGCTTCATGAAATATTTATGCACCGGTATTTATCTAATGATGTCATAATTATTTTGTAGTTTTCTGATTCGATTTCATTCGAGCAAATAAAGGATTTTTGATTTTTAAGTTTAATATAAGATTTCTGGTTTAAAAATTTGGTTGTTTTTACGCAAGAAACGAATATGAATCGTTTCGTGGTCGTACTAAGTTGTGTACTTTTGGCAAGCATCGTAAGTTCGCATAGTCTTAAAAAGAAGGATGATAAATCCGGAACGGAAAATGCTTCGAAAAAGGTAGTGTGTTATGACTTGTTGTTATCAGTGGATAATATATATGTATTGTACGATTGTTGTATTGTATGTATATTGCTCTGTCCTATATATTATCTTTGATCTAAAAAACAATAAATTAAGGGTAGATTTCTTGTGGTATTATGAACTCAGCAGGTGTATAATCAAGAAGATTTCAGGCAATCCCAAAGCGAATCAAAGAATGCGTAGATATAAATCTCAGTTAAAATATATCATATAATATAAACACTGTACAGTTGATATAATATAAAAAGAGTTTACTCTATGATATATATTCATTAATCTCCATAATGATGTTTAATAAATGTAGAAATTGTAAACTGTTATCTGTGCTAAACAAAGCAAAGGACAGATAGAAAATGAACCGTGGTATTCCTTCCCAATTATTATAACGCGCGCGTGCCTTATGCGTCTTAACTGAATTTGTTTGAATTGCGTCTCTATCGCGTTGTAACTGTAATTCAATTGCGTTTCAAAGTTGTCCAGAATGGATTTTAAATTAATGCTTTTTAATAAACAGAATGCCTTCTAAAATGGGTCATTTCCAGACCATGGCTGAGGTTTCTCATGAATTTGAATGTGGAATTCACGACTTTTTGTGTTAGAAAATGAGAGAAACTATCAGCTATATATGAGTTCGTTAAATCGTATTCTATAGCAATTTATCAAAGTAATTATACGTTAGCCTAAATTAATTCAACTTAAAAATATGCGTGAAACAGCATCGAAACGTCGTTGTAAAATAGAACTGATATCGCTAGTATTCACTGTTTTAAAATTAGTTTCAAAAAAGTATTTAATTAATTATAAATTAACTTCTATATAATCAATCAATCCCACGCAGTAAAGTCTATTACGTAGTCATTGTTGCAAACATATCTCATTCCCTGCAGCAAATGTTAGCTCCAGGCTATTATCACATGGAATGTCAGACTAAAGAAGATTGTACCAAGAAAAATCCAAAATCTTTCTGTCACATGTTCATGTGCGTGGACTGCTTGAAAGAGAACGTTGCTTGTACTCAGAATGGACAGTGTTGTGATGGCACGGAGTGTATTTATGGTCGATGTAAAAAAGGAGCGAAAAAAGATCCAGGTATGACTGTATGCTTGTCTGTGTTATTGTTTATTGAACGACTAAGCTCATAGATATCTTATACAGCTATTTCAATTAAGGTTGTCCACGAGCAAAGCGCAAAAGTCAAATACGAGCGCGAAAGGCTGCTGGGAATCGCTAACAAATTAATGAATTTTCATAGCGATTCCCAGCAGCCTTTCGCGCTCGTATTCGACTTTTCCGCTTTGCTCGTGGACAACCTTAATTGAAATAGCTGTATACACTAGATAGCGCATCTCTTTTAGTAAAATTGAAGCCAAGAATATTCCAGCGGTTACCCCCATTTGAATAGATGGCGGCCATGTTGGTAGTTCCCACTCGCTAATAAACGATTAAAAAACAACAATAACTTTCATCATTTGAATAGTTTGAAAATGTATTAATTGGAATAGGTTTAACTTAATGTTTAAGTTCCTTGTTTAAGAAATAAAAACATACGAGTCTTCTCATTTCATGGGAATATCCGAGTCTGCAATCACGGCTTCAATTTTTGAATTGCAGAATAATTAGATGCACTATCTATAGTGTATATAAGATATCTATGACTAAGCTGCATTTCCACACAAGAGAACTTTCCACGGACAGAAAATCTTCCGAACATATCTTTGTTAAAAGTTGGCCAATCACATTTTACAAATTTTTCTTTCTGCGGAAAATTCTCCTGAGTGGAAATGGACTTTTAGGATATGCATCTTAGGATTACGAAATCACTGAATGTAAAACTGAAGACGTTTTGGAAACTGTTCCAACTTTTTCATCACATTCCAGGAGCATTTACATCAAGAAAAAACACTTAAGCATGGTTTACACTATCAAAATATCTGTGATCACAGTAGAAATTTTGCATAGATAAATTCTAAGTTTTGAAGGATTTGTAAGAAATGTTTGAGGGATCTGACTAATGTTAAACACCAAGTCGCAACCAAACTTTGCAATTTTACTCATTTTAAGATGCTCTTTCCAGCCAGCTATGGTAATGGATTTCATTCTTCTTGTATTAAGATGATCTTTCCAGCTATGGTAATGGATTTCGTTCTTCTTGTATTAAGATGCTCTTTCCAGCTATGGTAATGAATTCGTTCTTCTTGTATTAAGATGCTCTTTCCAGCTATGGTAATGGATTTCGTTCTTCTTGTATTAAGATGCTCTTTCCAGCTATGGTAATGGATTTCGTTCTTCTTGTATTAAGATGATCTTTCCAGCTATGGTAATGGATTTCGTTCTTCTTGTATTAAGATGCTCTTTCCAGCTATGGTAATGGATTTCGTTCTTCTTGTATTAAGATGATCTTTCCAGCTATGGTAATGGATTTCGTTCTTCTTGTATTAAGATGCTCTTTCCAGCTATGGTAATGGATTTCGTTCTTCTTGTATTAAGATGCTCTTTCCAGCTATGGTAATGGATTTCGTTCTTCTTGTATTAAGATGCTCTTTCCAGCTATGGTAATGAATTTCGTTCTTCTTGTATTAAGATGCTCTTTCCAGCTATGGTAATGGATTTCGTTCTTCTTGTATTAAGATGCTCTTTCCAGCTATGGTAATGGATTTCGTTCTTCTTGTATTAAGACGCTCTTTCCAGCTATGGTAATGGATTTCGTTCTTCTTGTATTAAGATGCTCTTTCCAGCTATGGTAATGGATTTCGTTCTTCTTGTATTAAGACGCTCTTTCCAGCTATGGTAATGGATTTCGTTCTTCTTGTATTAAGACGCTCTTTCCAGCTATGGTAATGATTTCGTTCTTCTCGTCTAGATCAAAATTTCGTCTATCAGTGGAATCATCCACTGATTACGTCAGAAATGTTGTCATCTCAAGTCTATTTGCTTGGTAAAGTGAAACCATCCGTGCCCGTGGTCCAATAAATCTTGAGTAAATACCATTCAACTATCAATAAACTTATACTTGCTTATACAGGGTGTCTCAAAAAAACCCAAAATCATTGAAATTGACGTATTGTTCGATATTCAATGCCCTAGCACTAAGTTAATCCCACGAGTGCATAAAAGATTGACATAACTGCTATAATGAATGGTACTACTCAGCGTAAACTTGTTATGTCAGGCATAAAGTACTAAACCCACGAATGCATATTACGCATATTACAATTTACGAAGCATTTTTAAATTCCCATGAGCAAACAAACGTTCACTTTACAAAGATATTTTAATTTTTTAAAACAAATTAATCACCCTGTGAAAATCCTTTGTGTTACGGCATTGAAATTCGAACAATACGTTATTTCAATGATTTTGGGTTGTTTTGAGACACCCTGTAGTTCAATGGTAAATACCAAGCTAAAATGATCGTGTTTCGCGATCGACTTCATAAAACAATAGTGATCAGTGTTTACGACTCGTTCTTTAGAAAGATCATTTCTATAGTTCATTGTCTTTTATTGTTATGATCAACCAATGACAAAGCCTGTTCATAAAGGTTGGTGGCCGCCAGAACCTCCACATCCTGTTCGCGCCCAAAAATGAAATAATATTTGAGTATAAGTTCAAACACCAACCTTCTTCTTTGATGTCCAGTTTCACAGGCTCTGGGAGGCACTCGGACCACTGGGCCATTGCATTTTTAAACCAAACCCCCCCTATTGAGGACATCCATTTTTTGGTCCCCCCTCCCCTGGAATTTCCACATTTTTTAAGCGAATTTTTTGCCTCCCCCGTGGAATTTCCGCAGATTTTTATTGAATTTTAGCCATGCCCATGGAATTTCCGCAAATTTTTTATGAACTTTTAACCCATCCCATGGAAATTCCTTGACAGTTTTTGATCTAGCCAGTGGAAATTCCATATTGATTTTTTGATTAGTAGCTATCCCTTGGAAAATTCCTTGCTGATTTTGATCCTATCCTTTGGAATTTCTTTTCCATTGTTGACCCTCCGATGGAAATTCCATACGTTTTACTCATTTTTATTACCTACCCTTTGGAATTTCCGCAGATTTGCTTTAAAATTTGGACCCTCCCATGGAAATTCCTTCATTTTTGGTTCACTTTTGCAGGGGGCCATTGGAAATTCCACATGTCCTCAATAGGGGGGGTGCAGATAAAAAATACAATGGCCCACTGGCTGTTGGGATTAACGCAAGGCATTACGCACGGGAAATTGATAATCAAGCCTGGTTCACATATATGCCTGCGACGTACGGGCGACGATGCCGGTGGTAGCTTAAAACGTAAATTATGTGAATATTTGTTCGCCGATTGCCTCCAGTGCCACAGTTACATCGGCGGTATTTCGGCGGCAAGTAGAGGCATAATGATACAGTCGCAGGCATATGTGAACCAGGCTTCAGATGATCAAAGTGATTATCAATTTCCCATTTGTAATACAAAATGACTGAAAAACGGCAAACTTCGCATTTTACAACATTTCGCAACGAAACTTCGGAATATTACTAATTTTGTGATGTTCTTACAAGCTGTGATGAAATTTTTGTCCAGATCAAAATTTCACTCAAAAGGGGAAATGTCTATTCCACATAGAGTAAATACAAAGCTAAAATATCTTGTTTCGTGATTGACTTCATAAAACAATAGTGATCAGTGTTTATGACTCGTTCTTTAGAAATCGAAATGTAATTTCTATAGTTCATTGTCTTTTCAATGAACAACCATTCAACCAATAACGAAGCCCATTCATGTAGAAACCCTAAATTTTCCGAGTACGACCAGGCACGTTGTAAAACATGAACTGGACTCGCAAAACATGGACTCAGTCAGGCATGTAGTAAAACACTGACTACCGGAACACCGGAACACCATCGGAACACCGGAACACCACCATTTTGTTTGGGGTTAGGGTTTGGGGTTAGGGTTGGGGGTTAGGGTTGGTGTTGGGGTTAGGTGTTGTTCCGGTGGTGTTCCGGCGGTGTTCCGGTAGTCAGTGTTTTACTACATGCCACTCAGTCAGGCGGCGATTTGTAAAACATGGACTGAAGCCCCGTTTACACTACGCTCAATTTTTGGTACGGCACGGATAAAATTGGTACCCGTACCACTTTTTTGGTTCTTGGACTACCTATTTAGCTAAGCCCCGTTTACACTACGCTCAATTTTTGGTACCGTACCACTTTTTGGTTCTTGGACTACCTAAATAGGTAGTCCAAGAACCAAAAAAGTTGTACGGGTACCGATTTTATCCGTGCCGTACCAAAAATTGAGCGTAGTGTAAACGGGGCTTGAGTTCACGTTTCGTAAAACGTAGACTCAGTCAATTTTTTAAAAGTCATGGGCTCAGTCCAATGCTTTACATACCTGAGTCCAGGTTTTACAAGGTAACGGTGAAATGTGAGAAAGCACTTGTGTAAGATAAGTGAATTGCAATATCAATTTTAATTTTAAACTTTTGTCAATAAACCTAGCACTTTTACAGGCATACTTTGTTCCCAGAGTGCAGTCTATGACTTGGTTACATGTTTCTCAAATTGTTTAGAGTACCATCATGGTCAAACAAGTGAACTTACAGAGTGGAGTTACATTATATACAGATGCCATATTTCAAGACTCTGATGGCTGATGTTCTCTTTGGGCAGGTATTAATTAATTCCAGATTTCTTGTGCTCTACTAATGATGTGCAATCAAGATAAATTACAGAGTATTAAATACAACACAGTTAATATTTACATTAATGGGAATATAGGTCAGTATCTTCAGATATACTAAATAAATGTCTCTGATATAAAATAAAAGGACAAAACATAAAATAGATCAAGAGAGATCGGGCAGTGCGGGTAAAGAGCTGGTATTGAGGTCCAAGAAGTAGGCATGTTGTAGCGCCTTCTTGCAAGAGATACGCATACTTGGTTGATAGATGAAAAATTTCTCCAGGAGGTCGATACCACTGCTACAGAGTGTCGCAACGACTTTCTTCAATCCGTCATTCTCAGATTTGGTCCACTTGGGAAACGTTGGTTCGTATGAAGGTAACTTGGTTACTCCTGGCCAGTTTTCTTCTGTTGGCGTACCTAGAAGCCTGTGATGATCAATTCATGAATAAGTTTTAGTTAAGGCGTAAAAAATACCTGTGGTTCCGGTTTAATATTGCGAAAAAATTAGGTTCGGTAGGTCGGAGATAATTTTTTTTGAATATTTTTTTCCAATAATTAGTGTGACAACAGACGCCATTTTGGTAGCAGCCCACAACCACCCAGAGAAAATAGGGTCGTACGGTCAGTCACGTTGAAAAAATAATAGGGTTGGAAGAAAAATTTAGGGGTGCTGTTGGTGTGGAAGGAAGGGGCACTGTTGGCAAATTTATTTAGGCATTGCAGTTGATGCAAATCACCCTGGCCTACAGGGCCAAATTGCATAAACACTTTGAACTTGTGCTTACCTAAAAATACGGAATAGTTGGCCGATTTCAGAATCACCCTTAAACAATGGTCGCTTGGTAACCAGTTCTGCGAAGATGCAGCCGATGCTCCACTGGTCAACTGCAGTGGAGTAACGAGGGGAGTTGAGGAGAACTTCTGGGGCACGGTACCATAATGTCAGAATCTAAATGGATAGAATTGCATAATTAACCAATAATGAATTACAATAAGCTTCCTGATTCATGTCATCAATGTTTCAAGTTAATGTCTTAGCTACACCAGAGGGCATTCAAATGATAAACATGATTAATTAATAATAATGCTATAATTACCTCATGTGTGTAAGCGCGAATAGGTACAACAAATGTTCGAGCCAACCCGAAATCTGCAAGTTTTATTACACCTGTGTCATTGATGAGCAAGTTTTGTGGTTTAAGATCACGGTGTAGTATTCTTCGAGTGTGACAGAAAAGCATGCCAGTCAATATTTGGTACAAATAACTCTAGGAAACAAAAATATATGGTGAGCATATCTCAAATATCTGTCCATTATGTAACTAGTATTCTACAATAACCAGCATCTGAAAACTGCTTGAAAATGATTGTAGATTAGCCCATTTTTACTTTGTCGAATGCCAGACAATTTTATTGTCAAGGGGAGAGCAGTGCCACTCAATGGGTTAAAGTACATAATGAAGTGGTTACCTTTACAAGCATTTTATCCAGAAATCCAATTGTTGTGTTGAGATGTTGCTTTAAATCCATTGTGAGGAATTCAAATACCAGATAGAGCTTTTCGTCTTCATAAACAACACGTTGTAACCTAAATACATTTTCACAAAACTGAAAAGATTAACAATGGCTGGCACCCATATGTGGCACGCTGAATGCACTCTAATGCCTCCTATTTTATTTGTTTTTTAATTTAATTCGCCCAATTTAATTACACAAATTTTGATTATTATATTTACATGTTTATTATCTAGGGCTAGGGGCCTACTAGAAACCATCAAAAGGCATTTGATTAAGACCCCTAGTTACATTTTAAATTACAAAATACGGATCCTATTTACAAACAAAACTAGGTGACAGTGCTTCAAGTGAGGTGCAATATGATAAAGTATTTACATATAGTGCTACAGTAAATAAAATGTTATGATGACAAAAGTATATTATTATTAATTCATATAAAATTTGATATTGCAGATGTTTTTAATTGGTAGTAGTTTTTCAGTTATTCAGTATGTAGTATTTTTTCGATTTTTTCTTGAATGTATAGTAAGATGCTATATTTTTAAAGTTTGGGTCAAGATTATTCCAGATATCAACTCCCTTGTTAGAGAGTGAATGTTTAACATAGTTTGTTCTTTGATAAGGCTTATGAAGTTTCATAGAATTTCTTGTATTATGTCTATGAACTTCACTATTTGTTACTTTTATACTCTGATGCCAGAGTCACTTACTGTACAATATTTGGGTGTTCTAATTCTTTGAGCACAGATATCTCTCTCAGAGATGTACTTGGCATGCCTTCGTCTTCGCCGTCTATAAAACGAATTTTCTTCAAAGCAACGAATTCACGAGTTATCAAATTTCGCGCTTTGTACACGACGCCATATGTACCTATCAAAATAGAGAATATTCGAAAATTTAAATGAGTTAAACTGCTTTCAGGAGCAGAATGTGTGTACTAAATAAATGTCCTAAATTAAAGCCAACAAACCTTCGCCAATTTTTTCAATCTTTTCGTAGTCTTTCATGGTCGTCATGACGAAACCCGACCTGGGAGAACTAGGGGCAATAGACCTATGAAAAATGTACACAAGGCATTCTGAAATTTGAAGCAAGTGCAAAGTGTGAGCTATTATCAGATTTTCGTTCACTTACTGGACTTTATTTATACTTAAATTCACAAAATACACTCTTAATATATGTTTGAGAAAGCTTAAATTAGGGCTTAAAAGTTGGTTGAAATTCACTACATGTGGTCGTCATTCGCCATTGTTGCCATTCAATAATCGCTGTCCTGTTGAAATAAAATAGTTTTTAATCGCCGATTTTTATTTTGCGAGCAGCTGAAACTCGGCCTAAAGGAAATCTAATACTAACACATAAAGATTTATTTATAACAAGCAAGGGAAACTGTGTACTTACCTTACTTACCTAACCAAAGATTTTGAGTTTTGAAACGAATCACTTGTCTTCTCTTTGCAAGCTCAGCTTTTTGAAAACGACAAGGAAGTTTTCGAATTGTGCCTGTCGCTCACTGACCAATCAGAAGCAACCTTCGATCATTATTAACCTTCGATCATTATTAATTTTGGACCTTTCGACCAAATTACGTTTTAACCGCGTTTCCTCTAGATAGATGTTTATCATTATATTTACAGTGGGCAAAAAAGACAGCAAATTTGGCCACGTACAAATAACTTTCTGTCGTTAGTTTGGAATATTACGAAACTTCCTCACAGGATAAAACTTAACATTCCTAAAAGTCGTATGTTTTTTGTTTTTCGATTTTCTTACATTTTGGCGGGAAAATGACCTGCCAACTTTGGCGCCAAAAAATTAAACACGAGCTAAGAACATGCTAGTAACTTTTTTGAAGAGATTGTCCTATAAGGATCTCAAAACTGTAAAAACATTAAAAATACAACACGGCAGTGCGAAGATATTGGCGATTCAAAGTTCGAAAAAAATCTGACTGTTTTTAGTAACAAAATGGCTGATTTTTCAGTTGTTTTATCTTAATAGTTTTTTTGTTGCACTATATTTATAGGATTAAACTGCAAAGTTCACGTTCTGGGTTATGACTCCCTCACGCGGACTGCTTACAATTGGAATTAGCCAAAAGGGTAGAAAATTTGGAATAGTTTGGTGACCTGCAGTATTATATACACTGTAAAAACTGATAGGCTAAAATAAAAAAAAAATAGGTTATTTGGTTTGGTCTAGGACAACCCGATAAATATAGGTTATTTCAATAGGTTAAAAAAACCGAAACTAAATAGGTTAAAGCAAACCATTAAAAATGGGTTGGTTTATAATGACCCTTAAGAAATAGGTTGTTTTAATAGGCTTGTTGCCACAGAAAATCATCTCAAAATGCGCTTTAAAATTCCTCTGAGCCAAAACTTTCCGCATCAATAAACGTTTTGAACCTTTCTAAGTCGAACTATAACAAAACATTTTTTTCGACTTGCCCGAAATTTTCTAAGTCAAACCTTGCTCGAAATTTTCTAAAACGCTCAACTTTAAGCTAGTTTATTCCACCCAGGAAAATTATCCGTGGATTGGAACGGACAAGTCATTAGTTCCAACCCAGAGCTCAGAAGACGAAGAACTGAAACTTTCTTGTCCGTTCCAATCCACCGCTAATTTTCCTGATGCTAAAATTTTCTTGATGCTAAAAGTCTAGAAAATTTGTTCCGCGAGAATTAATTTCCAAATATTTCTTGGTGCTAAAATTTAAAAAATTTCTTCGGCGAGAATCGATCCATTACTCATTTGACGTCTGTAGTTTCTACCACTGCACCACGTGTTCATGAACATAGCGAACAGATCATAGCTGAACTAGTAATCTCAATCCTTTATTCGGTGACAATACTTTGAAATATTTTTATGCTTTTTCTCCATAAATATTCACACAAGACGAAAGCCAACGGTAGATTCCTACTTATTTTTCCCTAATGAACACATTTAAACTATTTGTAGACGATTTAAACGCCGGTGAATTTCGATGAAATGAGCCGGTGCCTTGTGTAAAATTTTCTCCATTTTCACCCGATTCCATCGGACTTTAAATTATCTATAATGAGCTGAATTATATACTAGTGGGTCGGAGCAGCATTTTAAATAAGGCACGAGCAGATTGCACCGGATTTCACCAGGCTTTAAATTCGGTGTAAAATAGATTGTATGTGTTCTTTTGGGTAAACGAAGTAGGAATATACCGTTTGCTTTCATCCTGAGCAAATATGTTTGGAAAAAAAAAGCATTAATTTCCAGATATTTCTTGGTGCTAAAATTTAAATAATTTCATCGTCGAGAATCGATCCATTACTCATTTGACGTCTGTAGTTTCTACCACTGCACCACGTGTTCATGAACATAGCGAACAGATCATAGCTGAACTAGTGATCTCAATCCTTTATTCGGTGACAATACTTTGAAATAATTTTATGCTTTTTCTCCATAAATATTCACACAGGACGAAAGCCAACAGTAGATTCCTGCTTATTTTTCCCTAATGAACACATTTAAACTATTTGTAGACGATTTAAACGCCGGTGAATTTCGATGAAATGAGCCGGTGCCTTGTGTGAAATTTTCTCCATTTGCACCCGATTCCATCGGACTTTAAATTATCTATAATGAGCCGAAATATATACTAGTGGGTCGGAGCAGTATTTTAAATAAGGCACGAGCAGATTGCACCGCATTTCACCGGGCTTTAAATTTGGTGTAAATACCGTTTGCTTTCATCCTGAGAGTAGTATAGGAAGTAGCGGTTCTAGACCACTTTTTCAGCCCGCGATCCCACCCCACTTCCGGTCAGCGGTTTTCCAAATTTTTCCCCAAAAACGCAGGCTCAGTTTTTTCTAGACCATTTTTTTCTAGACCATTTTTCCGTGGTCTTTTTACCTCATTTTTTTATCTATTATTTTAATCTTTATTATCATATTTAATTATACTCAAGGGGCCGAAGCTCTTAGGGTCAAACACATTACTTGAATCATCTTTATTATTCTGTGTGTTGACGTCAACGTTAATATTATTTGATACAGAGAAATTTATATCACCAGCCTTTCCATTCTTACCAGAACTCTTACGACAACCACATATCTTACCTAAACATGAGAAGCATGACCTCCACCTTGACATCTTATCTTATGATAAACCACATGTTAAATACCTGACCCTGAATATCGGAGTGACCAGCAAAAGGACATATCCATACTAGATCCAGTGGGCATTGAGTGTTCAGGTTTAACTATAATACACCATGCTAGCGTGTTATCTACCAACTCAACCTGGGCTCCTAAATAGAACATACTATTACCCTTGAAAACGTAGCAAGCTGTACTTCCACCTGTAGTTGTGTAAGTTCCGTTAAACCAGGTGTGTGACAGTCTTCTTAAGTCTATTGTTCTCAGAGCGATTTCCTTCTTAACCTGGGTAAATTTTGCATTAGATTGTTTCTCCCATACAGTAGCCCATAGAATTAGAGCTAGTGGTATATTTAGAATGGTTGAAAAGGTTGGAAAGTCTGATTTAATAGTAATCGACTCAAGGTTGAGGTCTGTCATATTATAAATAGGATCTGTTCTCCATGAAGGTGGAATCTGATCGTGACAGTAAGCATAGTACCTTGTTGCTGCAACTGAAACACCACGATAACCCCAGATCCACTCAGCGTGAATGTGTCGGTTTATTCTTACGTATCTCTTATCAGCCACTGCTTGTACAAGTCCAGTGGAAGGTTTTAAGAAATTCTTTTCTACCCATTGCTTGTTAACTGCATCCTTATCATTTACCGGATCCTTTAGATCTAGAATACCACTTGAATCTCCCATGTCCAAATCGCCTTTTACCAGTCCACCTCTACTACTCATGAACTCATTAGTCGCCCATCCCTTATTAACAGCTGAACCGTCAGTTGTAGGATTTCCCACTCTAGTTAACTCGAAATCGTTAACATCTAGATTGCTTGCTAAAACACCACCATCACGTTTCAGGAA